GGCCGAAGCCGCGCCCAGGGCTCTGGACAGGCAGCGGTGGCCCCCGGTCCCGCAGCAGGTTTGACAAGCCGCGGGTTAACTCCTCATGAAGACAGCTACCTGCCAGATTGTACCTGACTCCATTGCGCCCAGGAGCCTCGAAGCGAGGCGCCGGTCCACGGAGAGGCCACCCAGGGGACCGGACAGCCCTGAACTGCTCTCCTTGGGGAGGGTTCAGAGTCCCAGCGCTGTCCGCGACCTGGCACGTGAGCCCGCGCCGCCCTGAGCCGGCTGCTGGCGAAGCAGGTGCTGCCAGCACTGGACGCCGACTTACCTTCACGAAGAGCTCGATCTCGGGGTCCCTGTCGTCCCCGTTAGCTGTCGCCGAGTCCGTCATGCCGTTGGCGCCCGGGGCGACGGTCCCGGGCCGGGGAGGCGCCACCTCTGCGGCGCCCGGGCCAGCGCTCTACGCTCCTGCTCCTACCCAGCGGGGCCTTTTTTTCAGGGTGGTGTTTAATTATTATGATTATTATTATTTTCAAACCATCTACAATATTTCTCGAGCTGAGGCTGCAGTGTCTGCGAGATCAGTGTCCCAGGTGATCACATAAAGAGAAGCCAGGAGGGGCAGAGGGCAAGCGGGAGGCGGGTTAAAGGATGACAACAGGTCCTGGGAGCAACAAGTGCCGAGCTGCCCGGAGGTGTCACAGGATCCGCGACTGTCAGCGATCCTGTGGAGCCCGCTCCCAAAATAGCCCGCGGCCGCGGGGCGGGTTCAGCCCGGGCGGGGACTGGGGTGGGGGGGCACCCGCAGCTCCGAACTCCGCCCGGGCCCGGCCCCCGCCCCGCAGCCCTGCAGCCAGGGAGCCTCGGACTCGGACCGTGCAGGCGCAGCCGCCAAGCCAAAATGATGCCCTGGGGAAGGTCAAGAGGGCAGGAAAGAGAGTCAAGGAGAAGGGGAAACAGAAAAGGCGTTCGAGTCTCCTTTCTCGGGTGAAGCTTAGCTGCTACCAGCGTTACTCATTTGGAAAGTACTGCCCGCCTCAGCGATGCCCAGAGCGCGGATGAGTGATGCAAAGCAGGGGAAGGAAGGACAGGACCCTGCAAACAGGACAGTTGCCATCCTAGAGCTCAGCAAACACAGAGTAGAGCACTGGGAAGGGACAGGACAGAGCAGGGGTGGAGTAAGGCAGAGTGAGCCAACACTGGCAGCGACAAGCTGCAAAGATCCGAGACTTTCAACCCTCTGCGTTTTTTCTTCTTTCTTTCAATGTCTTGTCTTTCTATTCTTTCATTTCTTTTCTATTCTTATTTCATGTCCATTCTTCTTTTTGTATTTAATGAAGTACGATTCGATTAATTTTCACAATCTGAACTGTCGCATGACAGCAGCACCAGACGGAGAAATAAAATGTTAGCTGCACCCCAGGGAGCTCTTCCTGATCTCTCCTCTCTGCCTCTCCCTACCCTCACCCCTCTCCCTCAGGGGGTCACTACCATCTTGATTTGTAATAGCACAAGGCGGGTTTGCCTGGAATCATGGGCCTGCCTTGTTTTTCTCCCTGCTATTTTTGTGAGTTTCCTCTATCCCGCTGTATGGAGTTGTAGATCATCCATTCAGTAACAGTTTCTTTCTTCTCCACTGGACAGTTGCATAATTTCTACTTAATGACTACTTTGGGTACTTCAGCTGTGAATATGCAATTGAGTGTCCTTTGGTTGGATCCATGAACACTATTGTCTTAGATACATATGTGAGAGATGAACCACCAAATCACGGAGTGTGAGAATGCTCTTCTTGAGTAGGCATTGCCCTATGGTTTTCTGAAGTAGTTGTACCAATATGTGTCCTCACCCCTTATATATTTTTAATAGTCCCTAAGTCTTTTACACCCAGAATCCGGTCAACTTCTCTTTGTTAAGTTACCCTCTTTTCAGTTGATCTTATTTGTGTTCTGTCTTGCCTTACAAATATATTTTCAGAGCTTTGTTTAGTTAGTTTTGCTATAGGGTGTGTATGCTCACTGGAGAGAGAGAGACAGAAAGAGAAAGAGAAAGAGACTTCCCCAGGGCGATGGCCATGCCACAGTCCCTTCTCCTTCATTTTCCTCTTGAGATTTTGGGCACACATGTACACATGCTGGGGTTGTTTTTCAAGCTGCCAGATCTGGGTCTTAAACCATGCAGTCAGCCATGTAGGATCCAGCTGCCTTAACCACCATGCTACCAGTTGGCCTTATTTTCACAGCATTATAAGAAAAAAATTAATTCCATAATAAGAAAAATAGGTAATAGTACTTATTATGTGCCAGACAAAAGTGCTAAGCACTTTACATGTCTTCCCTTGTTTAATCTTCACAAATAGTACTATTATCCTCTTTTTACAAGAAGGGAGACTGAGGCAGGGAGTACTTCATAACTATCTTCTAGTCATCCAGCGAGGAAATGGTGAAGTCCGGATTTGAACCCAAAATGAGCCTGTGCTCTAAACTACTCTAACAACTCCTGTTCCTAAACTTAGTGCATGCCACATAAGTCACTTGGGGAAACAATGACAACAACAACATAGTCCTGGTCTTAGTGGAAATTAAAATCCATTTCAAGATAATCATCACGTGAAAAGAAAGATGCTGCAAGAGTTGGCAGTAGAGGGCCTGTAAAAGCCGGCATGCCGGTTGCGATAGGGAGAGGAGAAAGCTTCATGGAGCAAAGGCACTCCAGCTGAACCTTCCAGAATGGTCAGACATCTAAGGCAGAGAAGAGGGCGAGATACCCTGACACCCTTGATGGCAGGCTATCTCCCCACAAACATCAGATGCAAGCATCTCCCTGTCATTGAAGAAAGCAGTCACCCAGCTCCAATTGTCAAGTTATAGCTTAGTGGAGGGGAAGTGTAATTGCTCTCCTCCTCCTTGGTGGCAGCCTTACGTCACCAAAGCCTACAGTCACCTTCACAGCTGTACATTCTAAGCTAATGACTGCAGACTCCAGGGGAGGAACAAGGTTACAGAGGGAGCCTCGTGATTTCACTGAACACACTCATTTATTTCTCTGCACTGAAGTGCAGGCAGTATTTTTAATAGCGATGTGGCAGAAGTAAATAAAATTACACACATAAAATGGCTTTTGGGTTGTTTATATTTTTAATGAAAAATGCTTTACATGCATTTAGATGGTTTTATTTTTTACTAGAATTTAAGCAATGCATGGTGTGAAATCCCTTTCCTTAATCCCAAGCCTGGTCGAGTTAAGTTACATTTTATATTCTCCAAATATCTAATGCTTATTGAAAAGTGTGACAGTTCCTTTTTAATCATGATTTCTAGAAAACAGACATTTAGGCATTCACACAGATAATTAATAGTTTTGATGTTATAAACTTTCACATTACAAAGAAGGAGAAGAAAAAGAAAAGAGTCTGTTTTGGTCATAAACTATTTCTAGTTTTTAATTCCATATCATGCTTTAGTTCAAGATAAAAAGCCTTCATTTTGTGCCCTTTACTGTCAAAGCACAGTTGCTTCACTTCAATTCTAGCTTTGTCCAGAGAAAAATACTGTACTTCTAGTTTTAGCCCATAGTTACACAAACTTGGTGCTAGCTTTGGATAAATCTTAACCAGGGTAGCATTTCAAAAGCATACTTAGTGTTTACTTTGTCAGCCCCTACAATCAACTCTCTATAGGCACAAGTTCTACATCTGCAAAGTCAACCAAACTTGAAAATATTTGAAAACAGGAAACAGACAGTGATGCAGTAAAATATGATGCTCTGTGAGACTGACCCACATAGGACGGTCCCACATTCATGTCTAGAGATCTACCTGAGTAAGCCAGGCACACACATGCCTCTGATCTGGTGCTAGCTGAAGCTGCAGGTGTACTGCAGCACCAAGATTCTGTTAGGAATGCTACCTCTCTCTCTTTCTCTATCTCTCTCACTCATGGAGGAAATAAATAAGCGTTTTGAAAAGTTTAAAAAAAATTTTTTTGAAAAATACAATAAAAATAACACAATAAAAGTAATATGATTTTTTTTTTGGAGAGGTTTTTGCTACAAGGCTCGTGCACTCGCCAGAGACAGAGAGACAGAGAGACAGAGCAAGAAACCCCCCCCGGGGGGGAATGGCAAAGCCACAATCCCTTCTCTTCCATTCTCCTCTCGGGATCTTGGGCACGTCCCCGGCGTGAGTTTAAGTCACCAGATCTGGGACTCAAACTGCGGTCGACTACATGAGAGTTCAGTGACATAGCCATTATACTAACTGCTGGTCCCAGTAATATGAATTTTAAAAGCAATGCAGCATAGCTGTTTACATTGCATTAGGTATTACAAGTAATCTAGAAATGTAAAGATTTAAAGTACATGCGAGAAGGTGCATAGATTATTTGCAAATACTATACTATATTGTATAAGAGACTTGGGTATTTGTGGATTTTGATACCTTTGGGGGTCCTAGAGCCAATTCCCAGTGGATACTGAGGAATGGCTGCATACTGAAATTGGAATCATACAGAGAAGATTAACATGACTCTGATGAAAGGATGACATACAAAACTGTGTAGAATTTATATTTTTGTATGATCTGAAAGCAAAAATTACAACATATCTGATGGAGTTTCTGACATATTTAGATTTGATAATAAGGTAATTGCAACATGAAGGGCAAAAACTAAAGGAATTTATATACTTACGAAGTTTAAATATTTCACTTGAAGTGGTAAACTATTCATTCTTAGTAGACTGAAAAAATTCTTGAAGAAACAACTGTATAAGTTACACAGATTGATATACTAAAAGAGTCAATGGAGAAGTTAAAATAGAATGGCAAGAAATATTAAAATTATCTGAAGGCAGGAAAAGAGGGAAAGAAAATAAATAGAAAAATTAATAATAAAATGGTATACCTCTATCATATCAATAGTTACACTAAATATAAATAGTCTAAATATATCATTTAAAAATCTGAAGATTGTTGGACTGAATTTTAAAAATCAAGCCTCGACTATATCCTGTTACAGAACTCACTTCAAATGCAATGATATTGGTAAATTAAGAGTAAGAGAATGGGAGTGCCGGGTGGCATGGTGGTTAAAAGCACTGGACTCCCACATGAGCAACTGTAGTTTAAATCCCAGAACTGGTGGCTTCCTTTTTCACTTTCCCTCTCTTTCTCT